TGAAATGGTACTGAGGAATCCATGGCATTAAGATAACATTGCTAATGTTAACCAGACAGTAAAGAAAATTTTAGGAATCCAAAAGAAGGATGAATACTGAATAAAGTTCATTTTCCTTAACTATTAAATTATATTACACATAACACACACTTATTTTATGCCCATTATACAAATCACCAATGATAAAAAAAAAATCTACACCTGAGCACCTAGAAATTACTCCTGAAAAGTACTCCTGGAATGTGTCAGTCAGAAAATTAGGCCTATTAAATGACCTATTTCTATTTGATCAGGGCTGAAACTCCTATTCTTCAAAACTGGATGAATTGCATTACAATTCAGTAATAGGAGAAAAAATGTCTCCCAGAATTTATTTTAAAAGAGTTTATGATAACAAAAGTTACTCAATATAAAACATTCTGTAACTTTTACTGTGTAAGGTAATAAATTAAGACTGAAAACTGATCCCACTATGAAAATTAGAATCTACTTGATTCCATCAGTAGTTTCAAAGTCTGTTAGTATATTTTTGAAGTTATGAAATATAAGAATATACTTTCGAAATCATTCTATGTGCTTGATTTTATATGGAAAGGCATTTTGTAGGTCAAAAGATCTTTTCTGCTCTTTCCTCAGGACTTTAACTGATCCCAAGTCCTTTCTAGAATATAAAATGGGTATCACATTCAAAACTACATACTATAAAGGTTGAATGACTGGAATTGAAAGACAGGCATATGAAGTTTAAACACTAAGCTTATAAACAGATCTGATAATTGGAAACTTTCATCTTGAAAAGTACTGTTGTATTTCACCTCTGTCTATTTTCACCTATATCAGGCATCCTAATATAGTTTAATAAGTTTAAGTATAGTGCTGCCTTAAACTGAATTCCTCAATACAACACAGAATAACTGGCCAAGAAGAATCTGACATTATTAAAAAAGACTTGGCTATATATTTTCCCATGTACGTCTCTGACAGCATTTAGGGTTATCTTCCAATCGAATTGCCTTCTATGAAGAAGGCATACATAAAATATATACATAAAATTCAACTCCAGTAAGAGTTGCGCAGTTTACAAAAACCATTCAAGAAATACTATATAAATTAACTTCAAAGTTATTGAAAAGACAATTCATGTTTTCTGACAACAGGACTGAAAGCTCACAATTAAAAAATTTATTTTTCAGTACCTTTCAGTTGTATACCCTACCATCAGAGAACATACCTATTGAAATTAAAAGTGATACATAAGTTTTTGAAAAATAACAGCTTCTGCGTAAGTTTTGTTATTTCAAAATGGGTTTAATCTTATGGAAGTAATTTCAACCAAATGCTCAAGCCATACTATCAAAAGCCATTACTAGCGGACCTAGGGGGTATATAGTTTCCCAAGTTAGACCCCTTAAAGCTCAGCTCCCTCCAGTAACTCACACTCTATGCTGGGAATAGACAATCCCTTCAGTAAAGCTGCTGTCTGTCAAACCTTCCCTGCCGTTGAGGGTGATTTCCAAGGTGGAGGAATGAGCTTCAGGCTGCATGCGAATTAAGAATAAATAGAAGTGCTGAACTGTCAACAAAGCATGTAATTAGCAGGTGCTAACTATGAAATCTGAAAGCAAGATTTGCTATGGATATAATGTAAAAGTATTAATATATCCAAGGATAACTGAGAGATGGCTATAGTGTAAATTAAGTATGATACCCTTTCAATTTTGTTTTTCTTTTCTAAACAAAGACGAGTAAGGGTGTAACATTTCTGAAGCTTTTTTTTTTTTTTAAAGACAGGGTCTTGCTATGTAGTTCAGGCTGCTCTTGAACTCACTACGTAGCTCAGGGTGGCCTTGAACTCATGGCTATCCTCCTGCCTCAGCCTCCCAAGTGGCAGGATTACAGGCATTCTCATCACACCCAGCTTTTGAAGCTATTAAATTCATCTTTTAACATTTTTGCTAGTCTTGAATGCTTAAGGTCTTAATTTGTTTTAAAGTACATTCATGAAATTTTCTTTAGCTAATTTTTCTAATATTATTTTAAAAATAGAGGGCAAGAAATGTAACAAGAAGATTGCAGAATTTTGGATTTTAATCAGAAAAAGAAACCTAGGGCTGGGAATGTAGCTCAGTGATACATGCTTGTGGCCTGGGGCTGACACCCAGCACCAAAGAAAAATAAGAATGGGGGGAAAAAAAAGAAAAAAAGAAATCTTGCTCAGAATGAAAATCTGAAACTATAATTTCAAAACACAGTTGTATTCAAATATGCCAGTGGTGGTAGCAGATAATATAATAACATATAAAACATATGTAAACTGTAAGTAAAAAGGATGTCTACTAGAAAAAAATATTCTTTTATTATAAAGGAACTGAATGAAGTTATACAGTCAATATAATTCAAATTTATTTAAAAATTTAAATTACAATATCCTATCTTTTTCACTTTAAAAATTTTATTAGTTGCAAAACCAAAACAAAGGGGGCCTGCCCCTTAGCTCAGTTCTTTAAGTGGCTGCTTCAACAAAGCAGTCAAAGGCGGCGACCTGGCTCGGCGGTCTGGGCGGTGGAGCGCGAGGTCGCCGGTTCGCGCCCCCGTCCCGCCTGTCTCTTTGTTTCGGGGGCCCAGCCCTAGCTCAGTTCTTTAAGTGGCTGCTTCCACAATGCTGGCAGCCTCGGGTTGCTGTAGTTCGATCCCCACAACACTCCAGCCATGCCAAAGTGCCCTGAAGGCATTCAAGGAGCAAAAAAAAAAAAACAAAGCAGTCAGGCTCAGGTTGCTGTGGATCGATCCCCACAACTCAAGCCAGCCAAACCTGCGCTGAAAGCATTCGGACCAAAAAAAACCCAAAACAAATTATTAATTATGATTAAGTAAAACATCAGCTCTGTTGCTACTTGTTTTAATAGAAGAATGACTCTTGGAGGGCTGCAAAAATGGCTACGATAAAATATAAATTCTACCTTTCCACATCACAATTTTTGCTTTCTAATCCCAAAGGAAAAAAATTCTAGACTACGAGTCGCTGTATAGGCTACCACACTACATCCATTTATTCTACTTAATCTATAATGGGCTTTAAAAAAAAATTAAATGTGTTTATACAAATTTTCTGCCAAAAAGTTAGTTTTTAAATATAAAATATTCAATGAGCCAGATTACAGGAATGCTTTATGTATAACTCTTTTTATTTTCATGCAAAATAAAGGCACACCTTTGAATTTTGACTTACAGGATTTAAATTCAACCCTTTATAACAATGACTTAATATCTAATATTACATTCATATTCAGAATGCACAAAGTGCAGCAACAAATGCAGCAAACCTCAAAGAGTGCTGCAAAGCTGCCTCTACATCAAAAGACAGACAAGAGTCTGAGAGAATAATTTAATTGAACATACTTTTACAGACATACAGCTAACCTAAAGAAAGACAGACAGATTTAGAAAAGCAGCTACATCTGCAGAGGAAGGAAACAGCATATTACAGACAGTCAATTATACATAGAACATTTGACAAACACCACAGAAAACAAACTTTGGCGTCATTTACCACAGTACAAAACCTTGCATAAATCTTTTGGCAAGTGAAGTGAGTAAGTAATGTTCTGGGGTCTAAGCAGACTGTTAATTCTAAAATTAAGCATCTGAAAATATAAGCATAATCTAATACAATTACATAAATATGAAAAATAAGAAACTTGGAATTACATTTCCATTTTATTATGAATATCCCTTATTCACATTCTCAACTGGGGCTTTTAAAAGAAAAGGGTGCATTAGACAAATGAGTGAATAAATAAGTAAATAAATAAGTTAGACGTTATGATATGAGCTGCTCCCATATCATTTCATGGAAAACTGAGGAACTAACCATTATTTTCAACCAGAAGGACTACTTACTCTATCAATATTCTGCCCTGGTCAGACATTATTTATTATATAGTACCCTGCTGGTGTCAGCTGCTGAGACAGGAACTAAAAAGCAGAAGGAATTCCCTGCATGCATTATGTGTATTGTTAGCAAAAGAGTGAGGTGTGCCCCAGTCCATCTGAGGCACAGCAAGTTGCATAACATCATTACCACTTTGCAGGGTCTGCCGTCCTCCAGCCAACACTCCACTAGGCAACATCCCTGTGGGAGTCAGGCCCTTGAGTGTCAGCACACTTTCACTCTCCTCCCTGTAGCAAAGAAATATAATAAACATGAGACCTCCAGTAAGTATTTAATTTAAAAGAGATGGGGCTGAGATGTAGGCATGGATATAATTCACAACATTTAATATCATTTATCATATTCTAAATGTTTCAGAGAGCACACCTTATGACAGACATTACTACCTTTCCTGGAAAAGCCTTATTTATTTATTTAAGATTTTTTTTTCAAATTTAAGATTTTTGTTTTGTTTTGCTTTTTGGGTCATACCAGCTTTAAATTCACTTTGTAGCCCAGGGTGGCCTCATACCTGTGATCTTCCTGCCTCTACCTTCCAAGTGCTGGGATTAATTGGGATTAATTATGTGCACTAAGAGCATTAAGTATGTGGTAAGATTCAGTATCAAACAGCATCACACAACTGAATAATTTTTGGCATTTCTCTAAAGTTCAAATATTAAAGATAATCAGCTTTTCTAACAAACTTTGAAGAACTGTTCTATTCATTTGCACCCTTAAATCTGGTGAAATAACCCAAGGAAAGCAATATGTGCTTCCAGCAAAAGGAATGCCCTACATGTATAAGCAAATTCATCGGCAATACGCAGCAAAAGTAATTTCTAATAGGCACAAGCAAATTCATGAGGGCCACTCTGAAAAGTATCCCCTTCTTTTCCTCATCTCATTTTCAGGGTGCATAGTACTTCTATCATAGAGGAGATACTAAAGGCAAGCAATAATAGCAACAGAAGTCAAACAGCTTGTTTCAGGGCCATGGCTCAGTGGCCGAGTGTATGCTTTCACCAAGTGTAAGGCATTGAGTTCCATCCCTAGTACTACAAAAAAATTAAAACAAAAGCAAACAAAAAAACCCTAGATTCAAATAGACCTATGTTTCTTTCTTCAGTTAGAAGTTTACAACTAATTTCTTTATAGGAAACTACATATTGCTTTTAGATATCAAGCAGAACAATACTCAGAAAGTACAAAAAAAGTAATTTCTGCAAAACAAATAATCAGGAAATTGTATCATTACCTGAGAACAGAGAAGACTCTTGCCATCTTGCCAATTGCTCGAATTTTGTTCCTTATGATTTCTTTCCGGGCTGCAGCTGAACCTACTTTCAATAGAATAGAAAGAAAGGCTCAAGTTTAGGACATCCATGCTTGCATTATTCTATCAGCCTGCTTGATACTTATCTGAACCAAGACCAAGTCCCCTGCCACCAGCTCACATGGAGAAGACTGGATAAACTCATGCCAGAAAGTTTCTTATTTTCTCAATGTTTAGCTCAGCACTTGTCAAATGTTGGGATCTGATACATTTGATGAAAAGTAATCCACAAACTTTTATCATCTCACACTGCTAACTAACCAGTAAAACAGCAATGAGAAAACCACTTCAGCCGAACTTGTATTACAAACCAAAGGACAAAACACTAGTAATAATCCTATAGTGTTTTTTATTTTCCATGAGAACCTATGCATGCAGGCTAACAGACTAAACAGTAATTTCTTATTATCTTCTAACTAAAGCCTTTAACATGCAGGCTGGAAATACCCCATCATATTATGAAAGAATAAGTTTCCTTGCTCTAAGTTGATCTAAAAATAAAAAGTATTACCATGCACGTAATCCCAAACTACGGATCATATCCACATTTCAACAAGGTACGTACAACTCAATTTAATGGACTAGCTATCCTCTAAGGTCATGTAAGTATATATATGCTTACATATATATGAGTATGACATAAACAATTGGAAAACACTCCCTTAAAAATCTGGCTTTATCTCTCAAGGCAGCTGTGTTATCACCAATGCACAATATAGCAAGGTAATTGGATCCTCGGCTGAACAGAGATTCAAAGGTTGTATCTTCCTTCCCTTGGCCTCCAGAAAGAACAACAATCTCAGTCCTATTATCTCATATATAGCAACTAGAATTACTCTGGACCCAAGAGTGTGGTTCCTTAGAGTTGTGCTTCAACATGATGAAAACACACACATGGAAGCACTATGGTTGAGGAGAAGGTTAAGGAAGGGCTAGAGACGCTAAAGCAAAAGGGGCCTAGGGTACAGAGGTCTAAACAATCTAAGTCTTCCAGGCTAGAACATTCCTTTAAAATTCAAACAGCCCACAGTGCTCACTTTGGCAGCACGTAGAATAAAATTCAAACAGCCTATAAATATATATAATTAAAAACTAAAATGATAACTGGACCTGACTACAATGAGACAAACAAAAAAATAAATCCAATTTAAAAGCTGAAAGCATCATATATATTTTAGAGAAAAAGGCTCCACAACCATGTTTATGATGTTCCTGAAGGGCAATATTATAAGCCCTGAAGCTGCAGTTTTTTACAAGTCCAAAACTGTGTGGATACTACAGCACTACAGAGGTTTTTTTATATGTCAAAAAAATTACTAAATGTGTAACAGTCACAGAATTTCAGAATTTGGAAAGATATTAGGGATATTACAAAGTTCAATCTCATTTTGTAGACAAAGAAACTGAGCTTATTCAATGAATTGTCCAAGAATACAAAGCATGACTTCTAATGAATATAGACCTTTTTTTTTTTGGTGATACAAGGGATTGAACTCAGGACCTTGTGCTTGCCAAGCAAGCACTTATTCCACTGAGCTATCTCCCCGGCAATATAGACATTTTGATTTAAACTTAAATAGCTGAACTGTGGTTCTGCAGTAAGGGGTTGGGAAGAATGGCTGTAACAAGGTAGATTCGTATTTAAAGTCTTTATATAGCTGCAAAACCAAATGACATGTAAACTACACTTATTTCATATGAAAAAAATCATGAGAATATAAAAACACTGTAAAAATCAGGATTTAAAATCAGTCTACAAACACATCATGCATCATATTAAAGTAAATGTCCACAGTAAAATTACTTTGGGGAATAAGACAGACAATCAAACACCCCTAATCATGCAGGGAAAAGTACAAAACATTACAAATAAGCAAAAGAATGAAATTTTAAAACAAGAGGAATGAAAAGAGGGAAAAATATTTCCATGCACAGAAAGACAGATATCTTGGAATATGACTTCAAAAAAAACATCAAATACTAATCAAGTAAAACTTAAGATTAAATTTGCACAAGGCCCAAAAGGATCTGCAAAAATTACTCGATGGATATGCTAACTTACATGGATATGAGGATAACTTATGAAGTCATATTTCAAAACAGTGTTACTCTGTCTGGTCTGTACCTTTTTTATTGCCATATATGAGCCGTTCTTCAGATGGAGAGTCCAGAAAAAAGGAAGTGAATGATGGAGAAAAGGTGGTTGAGACAAATAAAAAGATAGAGATTTAACTTGGCAGTGGTACTGAAGAAAGAATGTAGGAAGGGAGAAAAATGAAGGTCCTCATATTTGAAATTTTGAAAAAATGTAGTACTACAGAATCTGGTGAATAAGAGAGATGCCACTGAGTAGGGTTCTAAAATAAAGATTTCTTAAAAGATATGTGTTCAGAAGAAATTATGGACAGAATGATTATAATATTTGGTGAAAGTAGACATAATTAGGGACAGAAAAAAACACGTGAAAACACATAAGACTGATAAAAGACTGTGCTAACAACAATTGCACATTTATATTCATACCCCTAAGAAAATGTGTCACCTATGAAAGTATGTTAAGTGAAAAGTAATGACATAAGGTACAAATTATGTGGTTCTTCAAGGACACTAATATCTGCAAAACCTGTAGTATGCTCAGAGAAACGTGTAACTTTATAAGCTACCTCGGTGGAAAACTTCACCCACCTCCAATAGAGAGAAAGCTAAAGCCTCCTACAGTCTGCAACTAAGAACACATAATTTCCTGAATCTCAATTATAGAACTTCTGCATATACTCAGCAGCAACACCATTCGTTTTGTTCCCAATCCAATCTGGGATCTCAAGGGACATCTTTTTGCAAAAAAAAGCAACAGATTGTTTCAAAGCAAATGATAGTTCTAAGAGTAGGAAGCAGGGGGGGGTTTCACTTGAGCAGTTCCAACCTTCCACTCTAATGCTAAGATATACCATTCCATCCTAAAAAATTCAAAGTTTAGTTTAGGAACACTGTAATGCATAGGGATTATGCATCTCTTTTACCAAACTGAAAACAAAAGATAAATATTTGAAAGGAACAGTATGCATTCTAAATACCACAGAAATCAGTCTTCAAATTTTTTTCTGATTAACACCTTGAACACTATGCATTATTACATGCAATATTTGGGCAAATCTGTCTTTTAAATGACCCCATACACATAAAACAGAGTAACAAAAAATTCATCACTCATAAAAAAAGAGCCTATTCCTTTAGACTTAAATATACAGTATACTCAGACTTGAACATAAAAAAACTTTTCTGCTGCTGGAAAATCTCTGATCCTGCTCTTTCCTCTTCCCCAAAGAAAAGCTAACCCTTATTCTGCCTCCACAGCAAACACCATTCCATGTTCCCAAAGTTAGATTCTTCTCAGACTCCGTCTATATGATAGTTCCACTTTTGCACAGGAAAAGAGGAAAGAGGACAAAAGCCATGCCATCATGGGGAAGAATAAGGAGAAAAGAGGGTCAGAGTAAAGAGGACAAAATGAGGAAGTAGAGATGAAAAATAAACCTAGTTCCAGAAGATCATTTTTCCAGCCTATCCAAAACTTTAGCATCTATCCTAATGTTCTCCCCCTCTTCCACTGTTACAATGTTCTTTCCCAAATCAATACCATTTACTTTCTTAGAATTCCTATTTTCAGTGCTAGGTAATGTAAAGGTAAAAAAATGAAGAGTACCTGTCTTGTTGGCAGTGGGGAGATCTATGTTTAGTATTCAAAGCTGGAATTGAGTATGTTTTCCAATAGAAACATTGTTAAATGGTGCTAAAAAATTTTACGTTCCTTAAGACTTGGAAATAATTTTTATCCTCTCTCTTCTCTCAATATATGCATAATAGGATCCTGAGGAAATAAGGGAACTTTTCCAATATTGCACAGGTAGAGAATGGTAGCGAAAGATACCTAAACCATTCTCTTTTTCATTAAATCATACTACTTCATTAATAACCAAATTTAATTCATCCTTGGAATGAAAAATAATACAAGTGAATAAATTAGAATAATTGATCATATTGGTAGGAAAAACATAAGAATACCTAAAACGTTTTCATTAGAGTAAATATAGTGGTCTAATACTTTCATGCCTTATGCTAATAGTAAACGTTATGTGTTCTTTTCCCTTTTTGGAAAAAAAAGGAACATAATAAAATGTTACATTTATTTGTTGTTCAGTCTCAAAAAATGACTCCATATCTATCTTTATATAAATCAAAGGTAACTATAACCAAGTAATATAGTTAGACTGAACAAGGATAGTTGCTTATTAGAAAAATACTAAAGTATTAGCTACTACAACTCTTATTTAACATATTATTGGCAGTACTATAATAATTTTCAAAATTAAAAAGATAAAAATTAGAAAATAACAGTTTTTCCAAATTACACAAAACAAATTTAAAATTATACGAAAAAATAAATAAATAAATAAATAAAATAAAATTATATGAAGTCATTATACTCATCAAAGCTGTTGGAGTAAGGATTTTTTTTTTGCTCCGAATGCCTTCAGGGCAGGTATGGCTGGCTTGAGTTGTGGGGATTGAACCACAGCAACCTGAGCCTGACTGCTTTGTCGAAGCAGCCACTTAAAGAACTGAGCTAAGGGGCAGGCCCCCCAAAGTTGTTGGATGTAAGCCCAAAAATATATATTTCTTTATACAGCTAGAAAGTATATTGAGACCAGTCATAGTAGTATTAAGATTAGAAAACAGTGATCTATTAATTAAACTTAATAACAAATTTTTTTCAAAGAAAAGCTATGTATAATTTTCAATGGAGTAATTATATATTCAATGATATCACAGCAGTAAATGGACTAACTAAATAGAGCAAGAGAGTTTTAGTTTATACAATTAAGTATTTTAAAACTCCTTGAATTTTGATATAGAGTTAACACAATACTAACTGCAATACCTACCCACTAAATTGTTTCACAGAATTTGGCAAGCTACCAGAAAACTTTTCCTGGAGTACTTAATATGCTATGTGCCAAGAACTATTTCAAGCATAACTTCAATTATTCATGATTTTAATACAACATTATCAAGTAGGTATTATTCTAATTTGAAGAGGAAAACTGAGACCCAGAAAGGCTAAATAACTTGCCCAAAGCCACACAGTTGTTGTAAGGAACTAGATAGATCTTAGCCCATGTCTAGTCTCACAACAGATTCTGATGTAGCACAACAGGAGAAAGAAATAGCTACTTAAAACTTTTAAAATTTTAGGAAAAAAAAATTAAGGGCCAGCCAAATAGCTCAGCGGATTAAAGCGCCTGCAAGCAGGCACAAGGGCAAATGGTTCAATTCCTGGGCCTGCTGTACCAACCCTACCCCTGGGGCGCACTGAGATGGCAATTGAGACTGGGCTTGGTGGCATGCACCTGTAATCCCAGCTCTTGGGAGGCTGTAAACAGGAGAATCACTACGAGTCTGATCTAGTAGTGAGAACCTGAACACCCTGTAAACCCTTTCCTAAATACAGTAAATAAACAATGGAGTCATCACTGTGATTTAAAAAAATAGGCCTGGGGAGATAGCTCGGCAGAATACGCGCTTGCCCGACAAGCACAGGGTCCTGAGTTCAATCCCTGGTACCATAAAACAAAAAAACAAAAAAATAAAACAAAAAAATTAAGACAGGGGCTATAGCTCAGTGGCATAAGCACCTGCCTGGCAAGCACATGGACCCAAGTTTGATTCCCGGTACCGGAAAAAAAAATCTTAAAACTTCTACCCAAACATCAAGAGGAAAAAAAAAAAAAAAAGCCAAGTATGGCACAATCCCAGGTTACTTGGAAGGCTGAGGCAAGAACACAAGTTTGAGGTTAGCCTCAACAACTTACTAACAATAAGGGATAACAGGCAGTGTTCCCTGGGTTCAATCCCTAATAGCACAAAAATAAAACAAAGGAAAAATTCTATTCATTAAAGACTATTATCCAAAACAAAACTGATAAAAAAGTACTTGCTTTAGTTATTAATAAAAGTAAAAGTAAAATTCTATCCCTGTGTCTGCTACCAACAGATAATACCAATACTTATAGTCGCTTTATACTTTCAATAAATGGAATTATAATTGTTTAGGACAGTGTGTGTGTGTGTGTGTGTGTGTGTGTGTGTGTGTTACCAAAAATCGAACTTAGAACCTTGTGCTTGCCAGACAGGCACTTATGCTACTCACTAATCTCCCCAGCCTTGTTGAAAGGTTAAAGCTGTACACTGGTAAATGTTTCTGTGGTATAGTACTTGCCTAGCATGCACAAAGCTTACGGCTGGATCCCCAGCCACTGTTTCCAAGTAAATTCATAAAAGTCAAACCTGTTTGAAGGCAAAGAAATTTCTACATAGCTTCTATTCAAATTTTACCCAATAAATGATCAGTTAAGATGAATAGCTAGGCATGGAACACACCTATAGTTCCAGCACTCAGGAGGGTGAGGCAGGAAGACCACTGCAAGTTTGAGGCTAGCTTGAACTACTGAGTTCAAGGCAGCCTGAAATGTATAGTGAAACCCTGTCTGAAAGACCAAAAAAAAAAAAAAAGTTTACACAACTGAAAAAATAGTAATTTTCTTCTTAGCATCATTAAAGATCAAAGAATGTAAATTTAATCAACTCCAATTTGTTGCTCTACTCACTATTTTACCAAACAAAGTAAGAAAAATAAATACAAAATGACAAAAATCCTAAAAGGTAAGCCTGTGGTATTTTTCCACAGGACTCATTGCTGGAAATATTTTACATTGGTCCCAATTCTTCTACAAAGCAATTTGGAAGTTCACAAGACAAAATAGTAAAACTAAACCCAATCATATTTTGTAAGTCTGTAAATCTCAAGAAGTTTTTTTTCTGGACCAGTGAGAAAACTAAGTGGACTAAGCACCTGCTTAGGCAAGAACAGGGACCAGGGTTCGATCCCCGACACCACATGCCATGCCAGGCCCACCCCCTGGGTGTGCTGAGTTGTGATGAGACTGGGTGTGTTGGCACGCTCCTGCAATCCCAGCACTGAGGAGGCTGAAACAAGAGGATGACTACTAGTCCAAGCTGTGTAGTAAGATCCTATACCAAATACATTATTAAAAAAAAAAAAGAAGAAATTTTTTTCTAGGGCCAGGGAGATAGCTCACCTGCCTGGCAAACACAAGGTCCAGAGTTCAATCCCTGGTACCACAAAAAGGAGAAAGAAAATTTTTTCTAAGGAAAAACAAAAAAAGGCTAGTAGACAAATGTTTATTGCAATGCAATTCATAATAAGGATAATTTAGAATAAAACAATTGCCAAGCAATATGAGAATAACTCTGAAAATTATGGCATATTAATATACTTAGAAATATGTAGCTATTGCTGGGTGTGGTGGCACACACCTGCAGTCCCAGCTATTCAAGAGGCTGAGGCACAAAGACTGCTGGAGCCCAGGAGTCTGAGGCCAGCCTGGGCAACATAGCAAGACCCCATTTCCAAAAGAAAGAGAAAAAGAGGGAGAGAGGGACAGAGAAACTGAGGGGAGGGGAAAGGAGGGGTGGGAAGGGGAGGGGAAGGGAGGGGAGGGGAGGGAATATGTAGCTATTAAATCTTTCCAATGTAGATGATACTTTTTTTCCCCTTTAAGTCAGATGGGTAATGTGCCCATGTTGTAACAAGGTTTTAGGGAGGCACATCTGCATAAGGCATGAATATCCAATCAACATGCTCCTGAACCGAAGGATCACAGACCATACTTAACATATATAAACTTTTAAATACTGACTACAACTATCAAAACTTTACTAAAACAAAGATGTTTGTCTTAACAGGCTGAGTAACTACTTTGAAGATAATATATAGTATATGTACTGTTGTTATTCTCTTACTACAGTATTTTGTTAAAAGATGTTTTTATTTTTCATAAAATAAAGTAGAATATAGAAGGGAGTAAAGTTTGCAGCTTATAAATTTTTACCTTTTTTATGTACTCAATAAAGGTACGTAAATATTTAAATTAAAAAATTTTAAATACAAATTTCAAAACATTAAAGATACTTTATTTTTATGGTATTCATTTATAAATATATATTAGATACACAGGCTTGTTGACTCATATAAGAACTAACAACCATGTATAACATTGTTTCCATGGAAAAAATACTAGTCAAATCTCTAGCAAACTAATAAGTAGTCTTTTAGAACACAACCATACTAATTTTGAAACTAGCCCACTTTGGTGTCTACAAGATAGTGAAAGCAACACTGGGAGTTCACATGTTTCTGATGCACTAACAATACTATACTAGATCTCTTCAAAAAGCAGTGTCCATATTCATGAAGAACCACATCCTTTTAATACCATTCAAATTTTCTTTCCTTTTGGTGTTCCAAATTTCTCTTTCCCAAAATTCATCTTCTTCCCCACACAACTATAAAAGAGAACTACAATGATTTTTAAGTATTAGACATATCTGAAAAAGTGACTTATCACTGATTAAGAGTAGCCAATCTGAAAGAAATGAATTTATGCAAAATATGTATTGAGCCTGAATAAGAAATATCATTTCAAATAAAAAATAGTAAGATAAGTAATCATACCATCAAACTGGTCTTCACCTTCAGTCATTAGTTCATCATCAGAGCAAATACTCAGAACATTTACCAACATTTCTGTCACTATTCAAAAAAGAAAAACAAGTTACACGTTAGCTGCCCATGTATAATCGTCTATATATACTTATAGCAATGATTCATACAAATGGTGAAATAATTTTAACCCAACAAGGCACACACATTCTGACAGGAGGAATGATGGAATTAAAAAATTTGAAAAGCTTTCACAGTAACTAAATCTTGGAAGTGGCCTATATGTCAATTAGTAGATGAGTGGGTAAAGAAAATGTGGTACTACTCTGCTCTAAGATAAAGTTGAGTCATTTGTAGGAAAATGGATGCACCTTCAGGCCATATATTAAATGAAATAAATCAGATATGCAAGCTTAAGTATCACATAGTTTTTCTTATACAAGAAACACAAAATATAAATGAAGAGTAAGATAAAAGAGATAATAGCAAGTAGGGAAATAGTTCTTTCTCAAATAACAAGGGGATTAAAAGATAGAGGGACAGAGAAAAGAAGAGGAAGGGAGGGGAGGGGAAAAGGATGTAAAAAGAAATGACACATTATATACATGTACCAACTCCCCACTGTAAAAAAAATTAATAAGAAATTAAAACAGGGGCTGGTGAGATGGCTCAGTGGTCTAAAGCACCTTCTTAGAACAAGCTTGGCAAAGCACAGTGGACCACAGTTCAATCCCCCAGCACCACATGCCAGCCAGCCCCGCCCCCTGGTGGGCTGAGCTGGCCACACACACACACACACACACACACACACACA